TAATACCTAACGGCTTAAGAAGGAGAATATACGAATGTAAAAAGAGTTAGTATAACTCACTTTTCCTGCGAAACTTTAAGGGATTACAGTTGGCAATAAGCGGATCCAGGTGGAAGTGTTGGTAGTTGTATCAGCAAGTGACCTCTTAACCTAACTTAACATAATGAATGATATATCTTTATTAGCCCTTATAGTTCATCTTTCTTCTTTGTGGAATTTGTATAAATAATTCGCCATCCGAGCAAGCAAATTTTCTTTTACAAAATATTTCGTTCTTCAAAAGTAATGTCCTCGACTTTTTGATCATACGAATCTCCTAATACTTAAATGGTTCAAAAGTTTGTACTCCTGCTTTCTGATATATAAACTCTGACTTTGCTGAACTATATCAAGCATGTTTTAATGTTTTTAGTATATTGTCTCTGTCTCTGTCTTGTCTCTGTCTTAATTCTTAAGAATATAGAAGATTATGGCATTATTAAAACTCGAAAGTAACTACAGTTCTGACATAATTCCGGTAGTTTATTTAACCATATAAACGAACTGACGAAGCTTTTCAGTAGAGGTCAATAGTAACCCAGGGTGATGGTTTCTTTAATTTAGATAAAAAATAAATGTCTAACCTCTATAAATCTGAATGCAATAACGACCAAGAAGACAAATTGGCGACAGCCGCTTGAGCAGCAACATTTTTGAAGTGTTGTTAATATTTTTGTTGACTGTCAACACTTTTGCTGGTGCTGAAATCCTTTACTCGCAATGGCAAATTTTTCACTTTAGTCATCGTCCAGCTAGTCTATGTAGTTTCTACTGTTGGCTGCTTAAATTTGCTGAAGTTCTTTTCGCATTGTCTCCACTACCAGTCAAAGTGGCGTCTTCATCATTAACAGCATGACGCACTACTTATGTTGCTTAGTTGGATGTTGGGCTCTCTCCATGAAAGCGTCTGTCATCACAAGGCGTTGCAGATGACAGCATCTTTGTCCGACTGCTTGCCTTGCCAGCGATTTCAGACACTTTTGTTTTTTCTGCCGCCTTTATTTTTTATGTGTTTTGTGAAAATAATGAAAAAATCTTAGTTATTTTTTAGTTGCATTTGACGGATTATAATTTAATTTCAAGTGGGCTTTTCATCACTCAAAATGCGTAATTAAAATTTTTATAAATTTTGTTGAATTTTGCTTAAAAGAGTTAATAGTCAGCTGACCAGTAGGATTCGTAATAGTTAAACGGATCGTCCCAAAAGTTATTTATAAGTTCAATAAACCGATGCTAACACAATTTGCTCCAAATACTGTTTTGTTCAAAAATGAATAGTTCATTGGTTGTCCTATTCGTTCCAAGTAAGGATCATGAAAGCAGAATTAGTAAATCAGTTAGGAAATTTTGGTGACACTAACAATACTATTCGACTATAAAATAGTTGAGTTAGTTTTTTACCGATGCTGGTATAATAGAAAATAAATACCAATGATATGGGAATGTAACGATTTGTGCTTTCTGTTAGATACGTTTTAAAAGCGAAATACTTTATGTGTATCTTATTTCGGCTTTTTTTAATTTTGTTTAAATTTAATACTAGATTTAAAAATAATTTTGTACTTGAGGCCAAAAAATTTTTGCTTTAGTGTTTCTAATCATCTCAGTTAGAACTTCCAAGCATTTATTTTTGGAGTGAAGGCACCAGAAGATTTATTTAAAAAATTCTGGGTGTGTAACTCTGACAAGATAAACAAATTCCAGTTACTTCCTGCAGCCATCGTTATTATTGTCGACATTATTGTCAACATTGTTGTCATTATTTTGGCAATCCAAAACTCCTACGAAAAAATCCTGCATTTGTGAGGACAGACATCGCAGAACCCCAATGAAGTGCTCAAATTCATAATTCGCAAAGTAAGATTTTCTGTTGACATGTCCAAAAATTAACGCTGACGGCACAAAATACAACAGTAAACAACTTCTTTATCGCTACGGAACACACCGCAAAATACAATGCAACGAAAAATACAATAAACATACAAATCAACGAGAATCGAATCGAAGCAGGCAATCCGTGAGATACAAAATAGCGAGTGGCGGCACGCAAGGCACAGTTGTAGATAGAAGCACAATAGCTGTTGCTGACAGTTTGAATAAGGGCAATAACTGCGGTGATGAGTTGAATGACAGCGCGAGAGAGTAAGAGGAACAGAGAGAGAGAGAGAAAGGGAGAACAGAGGCAAGCCAAAAGTCTAATTCGCAGCAGCAGTTCTTTTGCTACCTACAAGTGTTAAGTCGACTAAGTTGACAAATACACTCAGTAATATTGGCACATTTGCACTTTTGTGTCGTTCGCAAAATGGAATGTTTGCACAAACGGAATTGGTGCTGTATAGTAGCACAGTAATGCTACTTTAATTGAATATCTATGCTTTGCAGTGTGTGTGTGTTTATCTTCTAAATACAAGTGTTTATTCAAAATACTTTAAAATTGGTTTGGTAGCAGTGACAGTTGAATTTGTTGTGCCTTTATTACCAGAGTCAAGGTATAAATTATTCGACAGTGCTGTCTTCCATTCTGAAATCAGTTTGTGCCTTTAATGCTAATGAATACGAAACAAATATTTTATATTGAACCTTTGCTTTCCTATAATATTAAAATGTGTGCCATCATTTTGCATAAATCTTGAACTCATCCTCCCCCTACTGCTTCCACCCATAACACATACCTCAATTGTAACATTGCGACAATGGCTTATCACAATTTGCCGCCAACATACTTATATCGCATGTACGAGTTCTATAAGTACAATCATTTTTGCAACTCAGCAACAAGCACAGCATCAGTATCAGCAACAGCAGCATCAACGGTAACGGCAACGGCAACGTCAACATCAGTAATATACCAGTAAGGGCAGCAAAGCCAACAAAAAACATTTTGCTGTGATTTAAATTTATCTGCGACAACAACAATGCCTGCAACGTCAACTTTATATGCCACATCAGCAGCAAATGTTGCCTGCCATTTGCCAGCATTTGTGCGGCCAATTTGGTGTTATATATTTCGTTATTCGTTTCATTTTTTTGGAAGAGCTCCTGTGTTTGCTACGATTGTGTCCTCATCCTACACTCCCACCCACTTTGAGCTGCTGTGATTTTCCTCAATTTCAACGCAGTCCAAAATATTCTCAGTGCCGCTCGTCGCTGACACAATTTGCACACAATTGTCTTTCGTATGGGCAAATCTCACCTAATGGCATTTTTCATCATTTGCCGCCTGATGCTGGAAACTTTGTGGGTTCAATGCTGTTGTTGTGCTTGTTTCGTGTCAGCGTTGTTAGCTTAATTGCCTGCTTGGTTCAATCATCTATGTTGGCAACAAAATTGGAGTCTTTAATAGAAGCAACTTCGTGTTAATTGTTGCCATAAAGAAGTAGTGGTTAGTTGATTTTAAGATAGCAAAAGCTTCAGACAGGACAGGACTTCTATTGATACCGTTTGTGTTCAGTAGAATGTGATATTTAAAATGAGTAGTTAATTTTAGACCTAATACTTGTATGTAGTATGCACATGTAAGTTCGATTAATAAGGTTATGGAAATGTTATTCTTCTTGCAATTAGTAGTTTAACAGATTTTTAAAGGAGTTAATTTCTCTTAGACAACACTTGAATTGATAGACTTTGTTGTAATTATTGTAGTCAGAGCTTGCAAGCTTTCAAACATACTATACGATATTGTGTATAGAAAATTAAGATATACATTGTTTAAACTTATAAAACCTAGAAATTAGAGGAAAATTCCTGCTCATATGGAAAAACTCCGTTAATTTAAAAATAGAATTTTCCTTGAAGTTGCGGTTATACTAAATATAATACTTTTCAACTAACTTACCCAACTAATACTTTTTACCTTTTTTAGTGATATATTTCACCAATTCTTAAAATAGACTTCAGCAGATCCTTCTCCTCGATTACCTCTATAATATAACCTAACTAGAACACAAACCTAACTGTTATCTACGCCTTTATTTAAATGATTTTGTAAGTACTCACTGCTTATCTAACCAAATGGATGCCAGTTACTTTCACGAACTCAAGAATATACTTCACACATTCTATTATCTTTATAATAACCTACTAGGAACGAGCCCTCAATTAGTTTACCTTAATTTCTTTACCATCCTTAATCCCTGTTGTTTTCTATATTTTCACAAATGTTTTGAATTTCGAAAAATTCATCTTTCAGGATTTTAAGCGTATTAACCCCTCATAAGCGATCCTACATGGACCGATAGCTTTAATCATTTCTCAATTAATTCGTCTGATGTGGTTTAAGGAGGTTGAAGTACCCTCCGACAAAAGTAAATAATAATGAACAATTATAAATTGTTATAAATATTCTTGCGATAAGACATTTCAGCCACAAAATGTAGTCTTTTTTCTGGTAATTAGAATGTAGGCAGGAAATAAATTCTCAAACACAACATGTTGGATCATTTTGGATACTACGCAATATGAAATGTTTAGGACTGATTCCAACATGCATGCAGTTGTGTGATGCTGCAAAAATGTATTATTGTTTCATTTGTGTCCGAAACAAGTTCGATTTGTTTTGGACAACATAACAGCTGTCAAATTTGCTTGCACATTTTGCGTGCGAATTGAGTAGTTACGCGATACAAAAGTAATCGGTTCGCTTCAAACCAACTCTTCAAACAATTCTGTTCGTATGCAGCAGTACAAGAATTTGTTAAAAATCGTGCTTGTTTTTGTTCGTATTCTCTTGTGATATCATTCGTTCGTTGTGCTTAGGTTGTGTTGCTGTGACTGCTTCGAAGTGCTTCATTCAATCGCGTTGTACCCGTCGTGTGTGCCGGTTGTTCCGTGTGGTTAACGGCAGTTGTTTGGTTTGTGTTTAGAAATCGTACAAGATAATTATTTGAAGCGCGTGAAGTTTAAAAAAAATTAATACAACAACATTTTAATGCCAGATTTTGATATTTTATTTAATAAAATTATAACATTTGAATAAATAAAAAACTGAATGTGTTTAAAAGAAAAAATTGTTTAACAATGCATGACACTAATTCAATCACACGTGTTTACCGGTTCGATGGAAATTAGTTACTTGCAATTGCACAGCAAAACTGTAATTAAATATTTATGAAACCAATGATTTATTTTTAAAAAATTTATAAGATGTTTCGTGTATCCGTTCACGTGTGAACAACAGACACAAATTATGCATTAAGCCCTTGAAACTTGCCGGCAAATATTTGTTTTTGCTTGCAATAAATGTGTAGAGCAGCCACAGACTCAACAACAAAAACTCTGTTAACTTCTACTGCTAACAGTGCTGCTCACTGCAGTGGTTTGTTTTGCTTGCTTTGCTGTTGGCGCAAAGTTGCTGAACCAGTTTTTGGTTAAAGTCTCGCACTGCAGCCGCATTCTTCCGTCGATTAGAATTTTTGTGCTGACAAGGATTTTGAAAAAAAAAAATTATTTTCGTAGAAAAAATATTATGGTAAGTGGATAAACGGATTTCAATAATAATTTATTATATTTTTAATGATGATAAAATAATTGAATTTTGATGAGTTCAAAATTATTAAAAATTGAAGTTTTCTTATGGTTTATAGTCTCATGTCAAAAAAATTAATAAAATATGATATTCTCTATATCAATTAAAAATATACAAATAACATTATTACGCATTATTACACAGTAATATATATTTTAATGTGAAAAACATATAATAACATAATATATTATAGATATATATTCATACAATAATATAATAACAATACCTATAATAACATATATTTTGAAGAAATACCTCTTTCAATCGTATATATATATTTTATATACATGTATATATACGATATACATATTTTTTTAAAAAAATATTTTAAAAAAAATAAAATATTTAAATACGAATATATATCTATATATATATATATATCCTTTAAAATATAGTCGAAAACGTGATCATCCAGACAGCAAAAAATATCTATGTTCTTATATCTAACATTTATCTATGAAAAATCTACAGCTCAATCTAGATTTGGGAATATATTGGGTAGTTGGGGATGCAAAGGAATAAAATGTATTTTATTGCATTTAATATAATCTTAACAATATTTCCTTCATATTATTTGTTGAAAAATTTAAATTAATAATAAAATTAAAAATAATCCTTGGCTCATATTTTGAAGCGTTCTTTAAATTTACGCTGAAAATTTTACACACTACATTTTTCTGATGACATGATCCAATTAACACATTAACACATTACATTAATAATAATAATAACAAAATTATAATAATATTAATTGTAATACATATATAATAATAATAATAAAAATAGTACTTTTGGAATCAATAATAAATATACACAACAAGGGTTTTATCTTTATTACCTGTATCTTCATTTTATGCCAAAGGTTCTTAATTATGTCAACATTTTTTTCATTGATAATTTATAAAACTTTATTTTTATCTTTAACTTTATATACTAAAATAAAAGAACAGTTAATGACGTATGGAAAATTTATAGAAATAGTAAGCTGACATTTAGCTATTAAGACACTTTCCATTTTTTGCATCACCATGCATAGGCGTATAGTCTTATTGAAATACGAGTATCAGATCATTTGACTTGGAAAATTATCTTCATCAGAATAAATCATATTTTCTTTCAGTAAGAGTTTATAACATCCATTCGATCCGTTGAATACGTAGTAAATATACATCTCAAGGGTACGAAAATATAATATCAACCCATTTGACGCTCTATTCACTTGACAATTTTTTAACAATCGCTGTACAGTTTGCCATTTCTTTGCTTATATTACGCATACCGACCGATCCGCTTGTATTAAGGTTGGTCTCAATTAAGAATAAATACTTCCGTTTTGCGCTTGTCGGATTGTTCCCGTAGAGATTTATGGACTTTTTATACAAATAAGTTTATGGATTTAATTACTTTTTTAAAATTATTCCGGCTATATGCCGACTTTACTAAATGTTGATGAGGATTTTTTACTATTAATAATATTTACATATATGTACTATTGTAGAATATAGAACTTTGAGTATACAATCGTTCTTGTTAAACTAATGACTATTTTTAAACCAATATTATGAATTATTCTGTGGTATGAACGAAACGAAAGGTAAAGCGAGTTTATTTCATTGATAACTAACAAACTCATGGGTGATGTCTTCACCCTCTTCGATTATTATTTGGGAACTCTTTTCATCTACTGTTATGTTGAAAAGAATGAGACTTCGTTATAAAGTTTTTCCTGGTTTGTTTTAAATAATGTCGCATTACTAAGCCACAAAAGTATCTATATTCGCTGAATGCATTTCATCGTGAGCAATTGTATGGCATCTAATGAATAATCCGATCTTGTTTACCATGAAATTGTAATATCTGCGGCATATGTTTTTGAGATCGCGTTACTCATTTAACAGATGGCAGGCGACCGCATTGCATTCGAATTACTAAAGTGAATTCAATTTGTAATTCAGTGTCAATTGTTCGGCAGTTCATTGCACACAATAACAAAAGTATCTGAAAAAATAAAAGAAACAATATACTCTCATGTACTAGTAAAAAGCATTTGCATAAAGTTCTGTTTGCCTTCTGTCTTTCTTACTATTACCAAATACTCAACTAACGCACTTGAATAAATTCGTTTCTGCTGTTCTTTTGTTTTAACAATTGCAATGTTTTTTATCGAATAATTGTATGAGTTCATGTATTTCACTAAAGGCGATATATCTATTCGTATCTTTATATTAATTCAAAAAAGAAAATAAGAAACAGATATGCTTTTCGCATTCGCTGTCATTTAAATGCGCCGTGCCGTGCTGCGCCGCGCCGCCCCGAATAGGACCCGTCTCGGATGAGAAGCTGTGTTTCATTCCAATTTTAGAATAAAGAGGATTGCTTGCAAGAGTTACAACAACAACAACAACAACAGTGACAGTCTGAAAATTTCATAGATACAATTTTAGTTTGATTTTTTTAATAGTTTACAGATGCTTAAAAGTTTGTTTTTCAAAATTAATTTCTCCGCCTTTGTGTAATTTTTGCCGCGATAAGCACCAAAGTCTGTTTTCGCTATTAATTAACAAATGTTTTGTTTTTTTGTTTTTTGTAGTACTTAAATAACATAAAATTTAGTCATAGAATTTCAATTTTAAAAATAAATTAATTTTATCGTTTCAAATTAAAAACAAAGGTGGTTTTCTGCCGCAAACAAATGTTTTCACAAATGTTGGCATTGTTGATGGATATTGAGTTACCGTCCTCAAGGGCATTAGAGCGGTCTTTTTCGTACTGTTCTACCGTCCCAACAATCTGTTTTCTCTAATCGCATAAATTGATTTTTTGTTCTTAATCAACTGCTCCATTGGCACATATCAGGGAGGCTTCTTTGCTTTTCTGGCAATTTGGCGTTGGCGATGATGGAATCAAATGCTTTAGAATAAACAAAAAGTCTTAATCTAAAATGTATCTGGCGGATGCAGCTGAGTAAACAAAGAATATAAACATGAAGTATTTTTGTTGCGAATTTGAGCTACTTTCTTAGCACCATAATAATTTTAACATAACATAATCTACACCAAGTTGGCTGGATCATAGAGATTCATTAGATTAATTTGATACAAATAATTGTTTAGTGTGAGTTCCGATTTCGTGATTACGATTACTACCTCCTCACTATAAAACAGTTTTAAGTATATTTTAAGTATGTATAGTTTCTTACATAACAATGTAAGAAAGGACAAATATGTATAGGGAATGTAGTTGAATCTATTAGGTTGGCTTAGAAGCTATAGGTATGAGAAGCAGACCGGTATGGAGTAGATTTAATATAAATAAAGTTGATTAAGTATTTATCTCTTAGCAGCTTTAATCTGACTGCTAAAAAAATACTACCAGCCAGGTTAAAAGCATCATGACCTTCATCCTCCAACCGTGGAACCTCTGACTTAGTCCGTAGAAGTAAATCGAAAGTATCTTGATATCGGTTCTAACAGAGCAGTCAACTATAAAACAGCGTGGAGTCAGGCTGCCTTGTCGAAGTTCCTGTAGTATATGTGTAATGGTGCTCGAAGAGGAGACACCATAGCACTTGCTACATCTATTACGTCTGAAATGCTTTAATGATAAAATGTTGGCTGTTAGCTATACCCACATTTTTATCTGCTACATGCAATTGGCATACCGCCTACAATCAGATAAGAACAGAGCACTTGATGACTCTTGTAGGCCTCTTAATGTTCAATACAGATGTCATGCTGACTGGATATTATATCCTCTCCTGAATCTGCGTACCTGTAATATCTATCACGAGTGTTACTACCTGTTTTAGAAAAAAGATTTGTGATTTGATAAAGAAATTGTGGTATCGTGATGACCAAATCCCTCAGAGTTTAATGATCTGAGCCACATATGGATTACTACTGATATCAGTCATCTATACTTGTTATGCCTATAAGGATAAGCTTGGTACCACCGATAAAATATAGTAAAAGACACAAGCTTCTATTAAAAAAAGTTATTTTACAAGAAGATCGTATATACTGGTGTGTGTTTATTTATTCCAAACTTATTTTAGAAATCTGACATTCTGACGATTGCTTAAGAGCACTTCATAACTATCAAAGAAAGCCTAATCTTTCATTTCTATTATTAATTTTGGTGTTCACATAGGTTCAAATTCTTCTCATTCAAAATGATAAACTGAAATTATGTACCGATTTGTTGCTTAAAGTTCTTAGTGTTTGTGTCAGGTTGAAAAATTTATGATATTAAGTTTCTTTAAAAGGATTGCAACACTTTGTTAATTTTATTTAATGTCCTCATAAATTCACCTCCTTTCACATCTGTACTAGTCACCGGAGTGCTTAGTCACCCAATTTTAAACGGCTCATAAAATATTGTTAACTGTCCTCTGGGTTTATGGTACCTTGAATTTATCCCCTCCATTACTTAAATGCACAAAAGGTGTAGAACGCACTTCAAAGCCAAATACACAAAAAAATGGCATTGCGGAACAAACGTAATGTACACTTATGCTCAGTAAACCGAGGTGACAATCAATACTAAAAATGCAATTTATGCGCTTTTAATTGCTGAATATCCACATCAGCTAGCAACATCGGTGATAACATCGGCAGCAACATGGGAAGTATCCGCAACAGAAGCAGAAACAGAAACAGCAACTGCAGGTCTGCAGCACACATAAGCTGAACAATTTAATAATCCGAAAACGCGAGTGTGTTTGGCATGACACAAATTAAAAACAGACGACACATCCAACACACACTGCTCCAAAAAACTGCGTCGGCATACACGACCTGCACTTGGTTGTACATTTGTATAGAATTAGTGGATGTGCAAAGTGTTGCGTATTGTTATAAGGAAGAAAATTTTAAGTAAGTATAATAGATCTAGATATAATATCTGTGAAATTATTGGGTGGGCGTTTTTGACTTTTGATTATA